CCCTGGAAAAATTAGAAATAAGTTTGTTGTTTGTCCAGAAGTGACTTGGAAAATATTGCTGTTATTTTTGGCACAAAGTAAACAATTTTGTATAGTTTTATTTCAATCTAAAATAAAATGTGAATTTGCTTTTTTTTTTTAAAGTAGTACTGATATTTATTAGTAAAGCAATGCTTCCTGAGGGGGGAGAGTGTTTTTTATGAAGTGATTTTTGGCTTATATTGTTCATACAGTTCCATCCAGTGGCATTACATTAAAATGTTAGATGGGAGTAAATTTCCATTTCTCGTTAGTTTGGGAATGATACATGTAATATCACCTTTCATCTATATGGTATACTTACATTGTGTAAGAGTTTTTAAAAATTTCTTGTAGCATAGCTTTAAATACAACATTCTTCAAGATAAAAATACTTTATTTGAATGGGACGTAGTCATCTTTAAACATTTATTAAAATGTATCTTTAGTTACTACACCTGAGTTCCCCTGGCCAGTTTTTGTAGGTTTTTTTTACTTATGGTCACACTTAATTTCTTTTTAAAAAGAAATAAAAATGTTTCTCTCCCAAATTGCAGTGGGAAAGATTCCCACAAACAGGGAAAACTAACTATACATGAGAAAGTGTGACACAATGTACATAGTGCTGTAAAACATACAAAGTGAAAAACATGGAGAAAGTAGCATTTTTCCCATCTTAATCATTGTTCTAGGAATCTTAAATCTCTCAAATCAATGCCAATACCATTGTTCCCAGTTTTGGCGGGCATTGCACCTGCCAACATCAGGTGAGACACTGCTGTGATCTGGGAGTACAAGAAGATCCTGGCTGCTCCGGACCTTCTGATACACCAAGACCTCAATTCACTGCCACTCTCCCATCTCAAATCCAGAAAACCTTTCTGGCTTCATGTGTCAATGCAACAGGTCAACGTATAGGATGCTAGCACTTGCTGGCTTGAATCATGGGCTGCTTGTGATGTCCCAAACAAAGACTTGATTGAAGATCCAACGAAAAGTCCCAGGATTCTGCCTTCCTCATAGGCAGTGGACTACACTCAACTGCATTCAGACAGCACATGGAAGGTATCTCTTCCACAAATGGAAAATCAGAGAATCACTAAATTGTGACTGTGGTGAGGTACAAACCATGCGACACATCATGGACAGCTGCCCCCGTTCACACTTACAGTGGTGGCACAGGTGCCTTTTTGGTTGGTTGTTTTGTTTGTGTGTTTTGCCACTGATACTACTTATGAATTGGAACTTGCACAGAAAATCATGACACATTTTTGAAAACCTGTTGAACTTGGACTATCCCTGGTCTGACCTTCCTCCTTTTTATTAATATGGGAAGGCCAAAATGGTGATGTCTCACAGGATGAACACCCCAAACTGACTTATCTTAATTTCCTTTAGAGAGCATTCCTAATTTTGGTTATTTGGTAAAAACTTATGAGCATTGTTTCATTTATTTTTCAATGTAGAAATGTAGCTATCTAACAAACTGAAGTGCAATTCTGGTGACATTTATTGAATTCCCTGATGCACAACATCAGGCAGAGTTGTTTTGGTGGGATATTTTTTAATGCACTGTGTGTATATATTCATGTTAATAGAATGCTGCTAACACCACATAATTTATGACCAATAGTGAGCTGGAGACAGCAACTTACAGGCCCCTTAAAAAAGAATTTTAGCAGGAAAACTGAGACGAAGGATTAGTGAGCAGAAGGGGGAAATAAGTGGCCTGCTCCCTCTGAGCCACTGAAAGAGTTTATATAAAGTAATGGCAAAAGACAAGAGGTCGAGGAATGAGGAAATGGCAAATTGCCGTGGTAGGCCTCCTAACTTGGAAGACTTGGGTGGAAATCTACATAGTAACTTAATGGAAGTAGGAATAACTTCCAACTCACCTCTATGGCTTCTGGAAAAAGGGAGTTAAGCTGCAACTGCAGTGAGATTGGCCAGTGATACCATAGCTTCAAATTTGTTAGTCTCTAAGGTGCCACAAGTACTCCTGTTCTTCTTTTTGCGGATACAGACTAACACGGCTGCTACTATGAAACATAGCTTCAAAGAGAGCTTTACTGCCACCATAAGTCTGATAGTAGTAGAGGGGAAAGTAATTGACAAGGTTTGTGCCCTCTTTTTCTCATGGATCCTTGGGATCCATGCAGTTTGCAATTCTGCAGACTTCCCCTTCTTCAGGGGAGTTTGCATTTCCAAAGTGAATCTGAATTTGTTGTTGTTGTTTTTTCTGCGTAATCAAATGACCTGCCCATTTAAATATAAATACTTTAATAGTCTGCTTTCACTGAAATATAGAGGATGAATGTCCTAACTTAGCTAGTCCTAGCTGGTTGACTTCTGTTAATGACAATAATTCTTGTCTTAAGAATATGCTGCTTTTATTTCCTTTTTCTATACCCATATCAAATACTTCACCACAGCAGAGAACTCCCATTACAATTCACTGTTCTTTGAAAAATAGCATGGAGATTTTCATCTCCTGGAACACACTTTCTAACACTGACTGTAGAAAACCTTTCACTTCTTGTTTGGCTGCCAAAGCACGGCTGCAAAGGAACAGAGAACCAGAACTACTTAATGATTCTGGATGCAGCTGCCCTGTTGTCATTGCACTCAAAAGTTGCTGTGAATACCAGACCAGAGTTGCCAGAAACAGCCAAATTACTTTAATAGAGATGAAAATAAATCTCTTTACTGGATCAGTTTCAAAAAGCAATTACTAACTTAAAAATAACAATAAGTGTGATCCCCAAGTAGGCTTTACATTAGATAATTTCCAGACCTTTAATACTCCCTCCTTCCCCCCAAGGAAAGAGGTCTTACAGTATGCACATTATAAGTCCATATGTCTTCCCTGTAAAAGTAGCAAGACATCAGAAAGAATTAGAGTTAGTAGATATATCTATAATTTTTAAAAATTATTTTAAAGTATTTGATACAACTTTTTAAAAAGCTTCTAGATACTTGCAGTATTTAAGAGAACATACATATTGCAGGGTTAAGCACTCAGTACAATAAATGCAACCTGAATGTTGTCCTGTTTTGTATATTCATTACAACAGTCTTTTTAATTACATGATTACATTATTATCAAGTAGAAAAATTTGTATAATACTTTATCATATATACACACATATCTTAATGAAATATTTTTGTTTTTACACTTGTGTTAATTGTATTGCCATAAGGGTCCAGTATATTTTTGAATTAGACTTTCTGGGGTAAGTTCTCTTCTCTATGGTCAGTGTCACATTTCCCCTTTTTCTTCAACGAGCAGCACAGTTGTCTTAAAATGTAATGTAAGGGACAAGACCGGTAACTGTAGAACTCATTAGCGAGACTGAGGAGGAGGAAAGCCATGGAGATGCTTATTTTTTCTGTCCCCAGTATTAGCAGCAGCCATTGGAGGATAGGAGTGGGAGTGCTGGACCCCATGCTTCACCCTGTTAGGATTTGCTGTGCAGGTGTATGCAACTTTTGGGGGGTACTTTTTGAGCTGTGGGGAAAAAATTCTACTTTATACTTACTATGAGATTTTCAATGGCAAATACTTTGGACAAATTGAGCCAGTTTATTTCAGAACAGTGAAAGGCATTGCTTCTTAGTAAAGGATCAGGGCTATTTTTTCTATGCTGTATTTCACCTTCCACACTTTAGCCATTTTGTCCATGTAGGGCTCGTCCTAAAAATAAAGTAAATGGGAAACATTGGGTTTCTTCTGCCTTCTCCTTCCCCATCCCCACTGTCTTAGAACTCCATAATTGCGATACCATTTTTGTTCAGACTCCCCCTCATTTTTATATAGAAATTCACGTTGGGGCAGAGGTCAAGCCTGGAAAAATTTAGCTCAATAGTTGAAAAGTTTTAGAAAGTTATGAATGACTGAGCACAGGAGGCTAGAAGATAAATTGTTATGCAACCTTAACTACAGGGGTTAAGGCAAATGAATAAGGGCCAGAAATTGTCATAATTAAATCAGAAATGTCTGAAGCTATTTCATAAATGTCATCTGAATGGTTGCTGTTGGATTTCTTCCAAATGTAATAATATTTTCATTTTAATGAGCTGTTTTATTATGGGCACCTCTTCTGACTTGTACAAGTGGTTGTATTGATATAGCAGTATGGGTAAAAAACGAACAATCCCGCCTATCTTCCCAAATTTGAACCTTCCCACTGGATTCACCATAACATAAGAAATGGCAAACTTAATATAGCATTTATCTAATTTGGGTAATTTTAGGCCAAATCAATGGGATTTTCATTAATCTGACAGAATTGAAGATATTGGTGGTTTAATGGAGCATATTGTTTGTTAATACAACTTTATTATAGTAGCACCTAGCTAGGATTGGGGCCTCGTCGTGTTAGACGCTATACAAACATGCTAAAGGACAGTCCATATCCTGAAGAGCATCTTCCTGGTGTATATATTGTAAATACTTTTACTGTAGATTAGTACCCCTTCCCCTATCATTAAGGGGCTCCCTTCGCCCCTGGGGCCAGGCATGTCCCAGTCCCTGGGCTTCAAATCTTGTGCCTCCTGTGGCAAGCCTATGCCCATGAACGGCCCACACTCTAGTTGTCTGAAGTGTCTGGGAGAATCTGACATGAAAGACTGCTACCAAATTTGTTGGGACTTTGAACTTTGCACAAAGGACAAAGTAGTCAGACTTAAGGCTATCTTAATGGGAGCTGCTCTTAGACTGGCTTCGGAACCAAGCCACTCGGCTTCAACACCGAGCACTTAAGCTTCAGTGTGAAGCATATCTCTGGTGCCGAAAGAGAAGTACAGAAAGCAGCACACTGACAGAGGGCTCTCGCCGGTGCCGAAGAAAGGCAAGCAAGGGAAAGGCAGTGGAGTGCAACCTGCATTGGGTCACTCCTCCACCCCGGCCCCATGGCGACACCATCGACCACTGAGATCGTTGAGTCCAGTGTGGGACCTAACGTTGGAAAATTAACCTCAGAGGCCTTTGCAATGGCCAGACACTTGTTGTCACTCCCAGTCCCACTGACCCTGATAGGTCAGCCACCGGCTTCGTCATCCTTGAGCAGGAGAGAGCATGGTGCCCTGAGCTCCTTCCTGGCACCGGGCCTACCAGCTCCTTCTAGTGGCAAGCCGACTCTTCTGTCCTCTGTGAGGTCGTCCCTGGCCCACTATCCGTCACAGGACCCTCAGCAATGATCAGAGGCAGTGAGAGGTACCGCTCTTCTGTGGTCACCTAGGGAGGATTCTTCATCTGAGTCTGACGCGGAGCCCTGTGTTCAACCTAAGGGTCACTGGTACCCATCCTACATGACACTGGACCTTGGTGTGGCTCCCCCCGCTGGTACCTGGCCAGGAGGACAGTGGCCTTTGCAATAGCCATTCTGGAACCCTTGGGGGTTTCCCCCTGGAACCAGGTCCACCCTCCCACTGTTCATACTTGGTTGCTTCCAAGAGGCAGGCTCCCGCTCTGCCACGATCAGCACCGGACCCCAACTCCAGTACCAACCCTGCTACTGATTTACAGGACGTGGCACCTATGAAGGTTATTGAGGCTGAAGAAGAGGAAGAAGCCCCTCCTCCAGTACAGAACTCCTCCTCCTCCTCCTCAGACTGTCTCGGGGCCGAGCAGCTTGTTTCCCCAAGATGACTTTAGGGCTTATCGAGAGATACAGCAGATACAACTAACCTGGGGCTTTAGATTGAGGAGCTCAAAGAATCATTTCACAGCCCCATTGACGTTCTGGCTGCAACAGCTCCATCTAAAGTGGCCTGACCCATTAATGAGGCGGTAATGGGTCGGATCAGAGCCCTGGCTGACCCCATCTTCTCTGCCTCCTACTTTGAAGAGGGCAGAGAAGAAATATGTGCAAACCAGTGGGTATGAGTATCTGTACTCTCACCATCCTCCGGGGTCCTGCGTGTATCGGTGGCTAATGAAAGGGACAGAGTGTCAGTCAAGCACCCCCAAACAGAAGGATGCAAAGAAACTTGTTCTGTTTGGGAGGCAAGTTTATTTGATAGTGGTCTACAGCTACTTATCTCAAACCAGCAAGCCTCACTGGGGAGCTACAACTACCGTTTGTGGGACTCCTTGTCCAAATTGAAGGACTCCAGGCCCCAAGACTTAAGGCAGGAATTCTCAGCCCTCTTAGTAGCAGGAAAGAATGTTGCCAGAGACTCTCTACAGGCAGCACTGGACTCAACAGACATGGTGGCCTCCACTGTCACCATGAGATGATGCTGTTAGCTGCAGTCCTTGGGATTCCCTCAGGAGGTCCAGCAGTCTATCCAGGACTTCCCTTTCGAAGGCTCCTCGCTATTTTCAGAGCAGACAGACATGAGACTACACGGCCTTAAGGACTCAAGGGTTACTCTCAGGTCCCTGGGCCTCTATGCTTCGTCCACTTCGAGGAAGCACTTCAGGCCCCAATAGCCGCCACGCTCCTCCGCTCTGCCTCCAAGCCAGGACCCCTATAAGAGAAAAGGGAGAGGTTACAAGAGCCATCAACCGCTTCTGTCCACCTCAACCTCCCAGCCGTGGTCACATAGGTGCTACGGTGGGCCCAAGCAGGCCTTTTGAAGGTGCACCTGAGGGTACTTGCTTCAAATCCTGCCTCCCCTTTTATTTTTGCACTGACTATCCCACTTCAGCCTGGCATGCTCCTGCATAACATTGGACCGCTGGGTGCTAAATACTGTGGTGATCAATTATACCCTGCAGTTTTCATCCACACCTCCCTCCCACCCCGTCCCTCTTCAGGGACCCTTCTCATGAGTAATTCCTTGCTCAGGAGGTGCAGACTCCCCTACAGTTGGGGGTTGTGGAGGAGGTACCTTGAAACTTGAGAAGGAAGGGGTTTTACTCTCGTTATTTCCTAATCCCAAAGGCCAAAGGGTACCTTTGTCCCCTCCTGGACCTGTGTCACCTCAACAGATATCTCAAGAAGCTGAGGTGCCACATGGTCTCCCTGTCTTCCATCATTCCCTCCCTGGATTCAGGGGACTGGTATGCCGCCCTCAATTTGAAGGATGCTTACTTTCACATTTCTATCTTCCATGGCTGCAGAAGATTTCTCAGATTTATTGTAAACCAGACTCATTACCAATTCACTGATCTTTCCTTCGGCCTGTCTGCAGCCCCCGGGGTTTTCATGAAGCGCATGGTGGTGGTAGCTGCCTTCCTCTGAGGGCGAGGCATTCAGGTCTACCCGTACCTTGACGATTGGCTGATCAAGGGTCGTTCAGAGGCTCAAGTAAAGAACAGCGTTAACCTGGCCTGGCCCAAGCCGCCTTTCAAGCACTGGGCCTATTGATAAATGAGCAAAAGTCGACTCTTACTTCAATTCAGAGAATAGAGTTTATTGGGGCAGTGCTCGATTCAATCCAAGCCAGAGCCATCCTTTCTTCCGGAGGCCCAGTTCCAGACTGTGTTGGATTTGATATCCAAGGTCATGGTGCACTCAATCACGACAGCCCAGGTTTGCCTCAAGCTACTGGGACACATGACCACGTGCACGTACGTGGTCTAGCACGCAAGGCTATGCCTCAGGCCCCTGCAGACATGGCTAGCTTCAGTTTACTCTCTGAACAGACACCACTTGGACTCTGCGCTTACTGTTCCAATCCTGGTCCCTCGACTGGTGGAAGGACCCATGGTCGATGATGATGGGAGTCCCCTTTGTTGCTGCCCCTCCTCACCCCCCTCCCCAGCCATCAGTGTCCCTAGTCTCAGATGCATTGGACCTGGGTTGGGGAGCGCACCTTGACAGCCTCAGGACTCAAGGCCTGTGGTCCCAGGAAAAAAACACCCTGCATACAAATATCAGGGAGCTCAGAGTGTTCTGCTTGGCTTGCCAAGTGTTCCTTCCCCGGATGACAAGCAAGGTTGTGCAAGTTCTGATGGACAATACCGCAACCATCTTCTTTATCAACAAGCAGGGAGGTGCTCATTCCTCCGCCCTGTGTCAGGAGGCTGTCTGTCTATGGGACTTGTGCATGAAGCACTCCATCCACCTTGAGGCTTCATACCTTCCGGGAGCCCAGAATGCATTGGCGGATCACCTCAGCAGATTCTTCTCTTCTCACCATGAGTGGTCCCTTTGTTACCCCTCTTTGCTTAATATGGGGGTGGAAGGGGTTGATCAGGTCTCAGGCCTACACCTTCACCCAGAGGTCACCAAGGTTGTCTTCCAAAGGTGGGAGTCTCCCCAGGTGGACCTGTTCGCAGAACAGGAAATGCCATCAGTTTTGCTCACTGAGAAGGCACAGCCCGGCCTTCCTCTCCGATGCCTTCCTGCTTCCTTAGACAGAACTCCTATTGTATGCATTCTCCCCAGTTCCTCTGGTTCACAAGGTCCTCCTGAAAATCAAATGCAACAAGGCGAGAGTTATTCGTAGAGCCCCGGCGTGGCCGCACCAACATTGGTTCGGCACACTGCTAGATCTATCAGTAGCAACCCCACTTCCGCTCCTGCTCCATCCGGATTTGATCTCTCAAGACCACAGTCGGTTACTCCACCCAAACCTCGGCTCCCTTCACCTAACTGCATGGATGTTATATGGCTGAACCCAGAGGAGCAACCTTGTTTGGAACAAGTTTGACGGGTCTTGCTGGGTAGTAGGTAGCCCTAGTGGATGGCTTCCTACTTCGCCAAATGGAAGTGTTTTTTGATATGGGCATCCCAACGAGACCTCTCTCTGACTCGGTCTTCCCTTCAATCTATCATGGACTACTTGCTCCATCTTAAGCAACAAGGTCTGGCCCTTGCATCTATCAAGGTGCATTTAGCAGCAATTTCAGCTTTTCACCCACAGGTGAACGGCAGGTCAGTGTTCTCTGACGAAATTACAGTCTGCTTCCTTAAAGTCCTGGAGAAATTTTATCCTCAGGTCGGCGAGCCAATCATTCCCCCCTCCCCTCCATGGAAATGTGTTGAGGTTCACGGGTCCTCCCTTTGAGCCGTTGGCATCGTGCACTCTACTGCTTCTCTCTTGGAAGGTCGCCTTCCTGGTAGCAATCACCTCAGCCAGAAGGGTCTCTGAAATCAAGGCGCTTACACCAGAGTCACCGTACCCAGTGTACTTCAAGGACAAGGTCCAACTGCGGCTCCACCAGGCCTTCCTACTAAAGGTGGTTTCGCAGTTCCATAGCCACCAGGCCATTTTCCTGCCAGTCTTCTTCCCGAAGCCTCACAAGAATTCAGAAGAGTGGTGACTTCACTCATTGGATGCAAGGTGTGCCCTTGCCCTCTATATCGTGAGAACTAAACCTTTCCGCAGATCTACAGAACTCTTTGTGGCAGTAGCAGAAAGGATGTCAGCGCAGAGAATCTCATCCTGGATAACGTCCTGTGTTCAGGCATGCTATGAGCAGGTGAATGTCCCACCTTTAGCTATTGTGATGGCTCACTGTACGAGAGTTCAGGCCTCTTCAGCAGTGTTCCTCGCCCAGGTTCTGATCCAAGACCTCTGCAGGGCTGCAGCCTGGTCGTCAGTGCATAACCTGTCGTCCCGCTATGCCATCACCCAACAGGCTTGAGACTGATGCCAGATTTGGGAGAGCTGGGTTTCAGTCCCCATGTTCATGAACTCTGAGCCCACCTCTGGGTACTGCTTGAGAGTCACTTAAGATGGAAAAAATCGTTGCTAACCTTTCCGTAACTGTTGTTCTTTGAGATGTGTTCCTCATGTCTGTTCCATGACCCACTCTCCTACCCCTCTGTGGGAGTTGACTGGCAAGAAGGAACTGAGAGGGTGTGGGGCCAGTGGCGCCCTTTATACCAGCACATAAGCGCGCGGCACCATAGGACGCTAGAGCCAGCCCAATGAATACTACTGGTAGAAAAATCTCCGGCAACAGTGCATGCGGCGCACACAGACACCTAACGTGGAATGAACATGAGCAACCCATCTCAAAAGAACAACAGTTTAGGAAAGGTTAGTAATCATTTTATTTAAAGAAGTTACATATTTTGCTTGCAGATGTCAACTTTGGTTAGTGACTCTTTAATTAAAAAGGAGTAGGTTTATGTGGAATATACACAGCTTGTTCCTAAGAAATTTAAAGCATACTATGCAGGCCCTTCTGTACCCCTTTACTGAAGATCTGAGATCTCAGCATTGTTATGCTAGCACAACACATCAGTAGAAAAACATGGCATTTATTAGATTGTTTCTGCTTCATAGTACTGAAAGATGGTGTAAGTATGCAGTCGAGCATTGCTTTTAAGACTTTCACAAAGTACATGATACAGAACTATAGATCCCACATCAGTGTCATACATAATACGGGGTACCCTGGTCAGTTTCAGAAATGATTGTGGAAAGCTTGAAAGAATTACTTCTTATCAGGTGAGCAGAGTTCTCCCCATTTAGTTGTTGTAAATTTTAATCCCGTAAGTATATCAGCTTTATAGAAGAGATATTTACTGAGAAATCTGTGGTTAGAGTAGAGACCTTGGCATATGATAAAGTGCCATTTCCTGTTACTGTAAAAGCTTGGTTTGGCAAGTACTTGATATGTGTACAGTTTAACTTAATATATTCTAGTCTTTCCATAGTATTTCACATCTCATACTAACAAAATGGCTGTTGGGTCAGATTCTCCAGTATGATCCAACCTCTACACCTCTCAGGCAGCAAGAAGAAGCCAGAGTCTGGATGTAACTGGCTGGCTGCGATTTCCCCCACCATTGGGGATCTCTCAGCAGGAATAAAGCCTGCAGAGCCAGCTCTGGCTCTCCGTTGGGGTGTTTGGATGTTGATGCTCAGCTGTCATATGGTCCCTGAAGGCTGACCATAGCTCCATCGAGCTTGGTAGCGTGTTTCCCAACAGTGCCCTGTGTCTTCAAAGAAGGTGAATTTTCCTCAATGTATTGGGCCCATTTTGTAGGACTGGATGGAACTTTCCTGACCCTCATTGATTTATGCCTACAGTAATGTCCTGTAAGGTCAAGATTTTGAAAAGTGGTTAATAATGATTTTGGGGTGCCTGACTTGAGACTCCATAAAGGGGCCTGACTTTCAAAAAGTGCTGAGCACCCTCCCTTAAAGATATGTCAAACTGGCCATCCAAAATCAGAGACACTGAAATCACTAATCACTTTCTAAAATCTTGGCCTAAATTGTTAATTCAGCTAGTGAAGTTGTAAATGTTTTGCCTATTCATTTAAAACATTACATATTTTTAGCACCCAATCTTGCAAAGGTCAACATGTGCCTAACTTTACTTTGACAAATGGGACTACTCACAGTAAGTAAAGCTAAATATGTGTAAATCTTTGCAGGATCAGGGCCGTATTTTGCTTAACTACATGAATATTATTTGAATTGCACAGGTTGGTTATAGCATGTATTTTGATGATGAAACCTCTTTAATCTTTTTTAAACTTGCTGCCTTGAATGTCAAATGTCTCCTCTTATTAGAACATATCTTCTCTTCCCTCCCTCTTAATACTCTAATTCAGGGGTTC